TACATGGTATCTGATTGGTTAAACATGTACATGGTATCTGATTGGTTAAACATGTACATGGCATCTGATTGGTTAAACATGTACATGGTATCTGATTGGTTAAACATGTACATGGTATCTGATTGGTTAAACATGTACATGGTATCTGATTGGTTAAACATGTACATTGTATCTGATTGGTTAAACATGTACATGCAATCTGATTGGTTAAACATGTACATGCAATCTGATTGGTCAAACATGTACATGCAATCTGATTGGTTAAACATGTCAATGCAATCTGATTGGTTATTCAGTACTACTATTTACAAAAAGAGGAAATAATCCAAGCATCACAAGCCATAAAAAAACTTACTTTGTTCTCAGTTGGTGATGCTAAAGAAGGTGGTAAGACACTATCAGATGTAGTACTGTGGTTCATCTGTTGCATAAATGTATCATCTGCTATCTTCATACAATCTTGTAAAGTTCGTAGAAATGTATCACACGTTGCCGATAGTAACGACGTAGCTTCGTTAATTTTCTACAAAGATAGATCACAGGACAAAAAAAATCACAACCAATTGATGACATTCATCAATGAATGACAGTAGAGGGCGCTGACCAATTATCAACACCAAGGTGGGAATATTGACGATACACAAATTGTTGCATACGACTTATTTACCATTTCCGTGTCACTGAGAATGTTCTAGAAACGTACTGTGTCTGGGTGGAATATTCTAGATTTTGTTTAGAAACTGGTTGAATAGGTAATAGAACACTGTCGGAGGCAATAGAAGGTAATGGAACATTCTAGAAATCGGTAGTAAGTTCCAGACTCATTATGTACGCTGATGTAATGGTCTATTTATAGACAGTGGGGTATATAGGGCAGTTGTTCAGCACTGAGTTCAGATCGGAGATCTCGTTGAATTGTATTGGAGTTTAAGTATCTAGTTATTGGAGGTTTGGAGTTTTACCGCGTTATTGTATTTAATGTTTGCAGAGTATAATAATACCAGTACCAGTTGAAACCTCATCTGTAGGCTCCGTGTTCGTATTTTATCATCGCCGCCAGGGAAGTCTTTCTGTTACTGTTGCCATTTTGGTATTTGAACCATCACACCTGTACTATACCAATTACGGTAATATTACGTTGCATAATTGGTGAATTTTAAATTTGATGCAATTATGTAATAATTGTTATTACTATATCTTCAATAGTAAACAAACATGGGGAAACTATCACAGTATTGACATTTGGAAATGCTGCAAGGGTCAGAAAATGAACACCAAACATCGTGGAGTTAGGTAAGATATGGGACAGTAAAAATGGAGGGGAGTACAACATCAGTTTTGATGCAAATGATAAAATAATCACCAAAATACAAATTTGGAGATTTCTTAGACCAAATAAAAGAGAGAGAACCATGAAAGGTACCATCATGTGAAATATAAGGTATTATCAGAAAATGAACAAATCTAATAGAAGTCCACCCAAAGAACATATATACCAACAGTGTTCTCAGACTCCAAGCATCGCGGGTAATTTGCATAACACCACATCTAATTTGCATAATAATTAGTTTCTCCAACAAACATGACTACAATAAAGAAGAGATAGCTAGCAATGCACATTTCAATTAAAGAACAGAAGATATCATTAGAAAATGAACAATATGTATAGTATCAAGCAATGGGACTTGCTGTTTTCAACAAGAATTCAAAAATATCACTTTTTACCAAAAATTACAAAAATATTCATCAAAATTAGAGAATTAAAGATATCATTACAAAATGAACAAATCTGAGAGAGGTCCACATGTAGTACCTATAAATGTAATATAAAAGCAATCGGACTTGTGGTTTTTAACAAGAAGTCGAAAATATCACTTTTTACCAAAAATTACAAAAATATTCACCAAAATTAGAGAATTAAAGATATCATTACAAAATGAACAAATCTGAGAGAGGTCCACATGTAGTACAGATATATGTAATATCAAAGCAATTGCACTTGCGGTTTTTAACAAGAAGTCGAAAATATCACTTTTTACCAAAAATGACAAAAATATTCACCAAA